AAAAAAAGAAAAATCAAGACGATAGGAAGATACTTTTTCGTTCCTAATAATGAAAAGAGATGATCGAATCTTCAGTTACTATTTCAACAAAATTTACTATGCAACTTTTATTTTTATTTTATTAAGAAATTATAATGATGACTTCACAATGTTTGAGGTATCGTGTTTTTTTCTTTTTAAAAAAAAGAAAAAAGTCATCAAATATGGCGACCAAGTCACAATGTGACCTTGGGTCGCGACCCGATTGTTGGTTAGGAATGAGACACTTGTCTAATTTTTATTGGGCAAGTGTATTTTCTTTTGTTAAATTATAAAAATACTAAAATTCATATTTTTTATGCTCTACAAATAGACACCACATTTGATATATTTTAAAATATAATTATAATTTTTAAATAAATTAAATTAAATAAATATTTTAGGTTGAGTTGGATGGAGAATAAAGTTAATTTGAGTTGAAATGTTAGGTTGAGTAGATGGAAGTGAAAGAATTTTTTTTTTTTGTACAGGGACCTTCTGGTTTCTAGATCCACAAGGGAACGGACTAATTCGGAATCGAGCCGGATAGGACCACAAGAGCGACAAAGCTGTGAGAGAAATAACTTTTAATTATTGGATTGAGTTGCTATGAAAAAGATAGTCTCAAATAAAAAGAGAACGAAAAAATAAAGTAAAATTTCTAGTGTTTTTATTGTATACCTCAAAGACTCGAATAAAACAAATCAAACTCGGGAAGATTTTTTTTGTTCGTAGGGTTACAGGGAAATGAAGCTGAAAAGATTTCTATCAATCCATGTTTTATCAGTGTTCTTCCTATTAGGGTTCATATATTACGAGACAACATTTGTATTCATCGAAGATTGGTATGGGTTGCAGAGCTCAGCTGGGCTGCTCAACTCTCTGATTTTCAGCTTTCTGGCGTTTCTGTGCGTTTTTTCACTCTTGGTGTGTGTTCTATCGGACCCCGGCGGCGTCCCGTCTGGTTACATCCCCGATGTTGAAGACAGCCAGGGCTCCGATCAAGAATCCAAGAGAAATGTGAGCCCTCTTTTTTTGTTTCTACTCTCTTTCTCTTTGTAATTTCTTTAGGGTTTTGTGCGTCTGTAGAGAATTGGCTGCAGCTAGGATGAATTCCTTTGCTGAGATGGGTTAGAATTAGATGCATGACCAGTTTATCGTCTAGTTGTTGTGATTGAACGATCTCCGATTAATATTTTCCTTTTTTTTGACGGTGATTATAGTTCAGTTGGTGTGAAAGAACGATTTCCGATGAATCGAGTTTTATTCTTTGTTTTTTTTTTTCATGGTGATTATAGTTTAGTTGGTGTGATTCAGCGGATTCTAATGAATAAAGTTTTATTCCTTTTTCATGGTGATTAAGTACAGTGTGCTTTGGAATTTGAGATGGGTGAAAATGGAAAGAATTCTGTTTTTCACACACGCATAATCGGAGGTTTGGTGATTCTCGGTAGTGCAGTTAGTAAATTCCAAGTTTTCGTTTGAGGGCTTTGATTTTGAGAATAAGGGCAGTAGAAGATAGAACTAGTGTCTTTTATATGTGCTGCAAGGATTTGGAATGATTAGAGATAGTTATACTATGTCATAGCTAATTTTTGATATGATTAATTGGAACCCAGAATACATGTTGATGAGTTTGTCTTCTATTTAGCTGTTCCTAATCGAAAAAATTTGTTGATTTTTGTTGGAATTATCCGGCTACTTAAGACCTCCCAACTGCGCAAGACTCAAGTTTAACAATTTGTGTTGTTATTAATTCCATAATCAATTTACTGTAATAAAGAAGGTTTAAAACTTCAGAGCAACCTTTTCTTGCACGGACTTACGAAGCTCAAAAACTTCAGAGCAACCTTTTCTTGCACGGACTTACGAAGCTCAAAAACTTCAGGGAAGCTAAACTAACATTAGCGCAAACTTCTTAGGAGTAACAAGTTTATTCCTTTGATATCTCACTCATACTCTGTTTGTTCATGATAGCGTCCTTACATTTCCGATTTCCCTCCCTCTTCCTCAACACATAATTAAGACCTTAACGTGTCAATATATTTATGATCGATCTGTTTTTATTAGTGTTTCATGCATAATAATGATCTGTACTTCTCCCCATCTTGTTCTCGATTTATTTACCTATGGAAAGAATTGCAAGTTTTGTCCAGTATCTTCTGGTCAGTTACAGTTTCTTCCAAAAGCTTTTTGGGGTTTCAATTTGGTACAGTTGCTATTGAAATTCCCGTTGATTGCGAACACCAAACCTGAAATACATTGAGGGATTTTGTAGACAAGAAGACGCATAAAGTAAAAGTTGATTCACTAATTTTGGACAAATAGTTGGCTGGAAATCGGTCGCCAAATCTACATATTGTTGTCTATATGAGCTTCTTTGCATGGATATTCGGATTTTAAATTATGATTCTTGCATTGGAGAACATCGTTTCAACTTGAAATACATGAGTTTCTTCTGTTAGATTAATGCAACATATATTATTTGGTATTTGATTTGTGGCTTTTAGGGTGCGCATACGAGGCTCTGTGACAAGTGCTCCGTGCACAAGCCTCCAAGGGCCCATCATTGTCGTGTCTGCAGAATGTGTGTTCTAAGGATGGTGGGTGCTTTTTGGATTCTGTGGCTTTTACAGTTATGCGTTTTTTTTGTTAAAGTTATGATTCTTTTTTGGGATAGTTACGGAAGCTACCTACCAATGTTTTTTAACCTTTTACTTCTACGACTTGACATTTGTGTTTGTTCTATAAACTATCCCCAATAGGTCGAATTTGTACAATAAAGACTACCTCCTCATGTTCCTGTAATTTTGAAGCGTAATTGCATTTTTCATTTCTAATTTTGAAGCAGGATCACCATTGTTCCTGGATTAATAATTGTGTAGGCCTTAAGAACTACAAGTCATTCCTTCTTTTACTCTTCTATGCAACCGCTGGGAGCACTTACTCAGCAGTAAGCATAGTTTTCTGCTTTTCCCTTTTCTTTCATTTTAAATTTCAAACTGCTTAATTGTATTTTTTATTATCTTGCAGATTGTCATAATATGCTGCACACTTGAGAAGAACTGGGATTCCATTGACAACCATCCAGCCAAGATCCTTCATGTAAGTTGGTATAAGATCCTTATATTTCAGCTATGTAAGTTGGTATAAGATCCTTATATTTCAGCTATTATATATCGTCTTTAATTAGTTTTCTGCTAGTTTTCCTATGATGGGATATTTGGATGTAACTTTTCATTGTCTAGAAACACCCCTCATCTTACAAAATCTACTTTTTCTTTAATAAATTTTTCTGTTGCATGAATCGTTTTACGGAATTCCTTTGACAGTATAATTTGCACATGTGACTTAAAAAGTATCTGATATGTATTTTATATTTCAGGTTGTGTGTGGAGTCATGAGTATAGGTGTAAGTCTTGTGCTTGGATCTTTCTTGGTTTGGCACATATTCCTCACTTGTCGTAATATGACAACTATAGAGGTAAAGATATCATGTCACGACTGCTCGATCCATCTATTTCACATTCTTTCTAATGCTAAATTATAATCTGATGGTAAATCTCAGTACTATGATGCGAAACGAGCTGCATGGTTGGCTAGGAAATCCGGGCTGAGCTATCACCATCCTTACGATGTTGGTTCTTTCAAAAATATTTCCCTGGTCTCTCTCTCTCTCTCTCTCTCTCTCTCTTTCGTTCAATTTGTTCAGGCTTTAGGTCTGTTAAGAGTTGCAAATAAAACGAGTCTTGTCATCGTGGGAAAATGAATGAATAAATAAATAAATAAATAATGAATTGCCATAACTAAAAACAAATGCGAGAAAATGCTCGAAACATAGAACTCTTGACAGTTTCATAGTGCATAGTGGACATGTGAGGTCATGTAATTTAATTAAGGCAAAAATGCATTTTAGTGGTGTTGGTTTAATGCCATAGCAATTTTAGTCCCAAGGTTCGAACTTTTCGCCTTTTGGTTTTGTGATTTAATATTTTGCTGAAATTGCAACAACATTTTCAATTACATGACTTAAATTGCTAAGCAGAAATCTGGGAATTTGGATTTTTTGTGCATAATTTCAGACCTCAAATGACTGAAATTGCAGCAAAATATTAAATCACAGGACCACAAGATAAAATGTTGGAACCTTGGGATTAAAATTGCTATGGTGTAAAACCAAGCAGGACTAAAAATGCAATTTTTTACATTAATAAAATGCGTAGCTTGGACTTAGATATATTCGCTGCATTCGTAGTTTGTTCTTGTGTTGTTTATGATATCGAACATGTGTATGCTTTTGAAACTGAAAAGTATGACTAATGAATGATTCAGATCTTGGGCCCCAACATGTTAAAATGGCTTTGGCCTACTTGCACCAGTCATATTAAGGACGGACTTAACTACCCTTCTATACGCGATAGCTCGTGACACGACACAATTTTTGCCTCAAAGAATCAAACATTTGTATTCATTCCTTTATTGGATGTTGCACGAATTGGATAGCAAAGAAAAATTCTATTCTGGACGACTGCACGAGGGTACGAATACAACAGTGCAATTTGGTAACTACTTGGAACTGCAAATTCTGCTCCCTAGAATTGTTCGATATTTATGTTTCACGGCTGGCAGTGATATAGGTTGAAAAACCTTTGCTCCGTTTTCGCAATGTATGGTGATTGTCCCCCTACGTTTTTTCGGTTAAAGATTCGTGTTTTTTTTTTTTTTTTTTTTTNNNTTTTGGGTACAAACTAGTTTGTTTTGGCCCAAATGTATGATGTGTGTGAAAGAGTTTTGTGGGAAGAGTATTGGTGTTTTGGGCCTTTGGCCCATTGTGTTTGTTTGTAAAGATTTTGATTGACCGATAATCTCAGCTTAACTGTTAGGTAGGTTGATTAGTTATATTCTTTTGAATAAAAATACGCATGTGTGATGTAGGAAAGTGTACGAGTAGAAAGGATATGGATGAGATTTCAATCTCAAACACGATAAAAAATAAACGAATTTTATTTTTATTCAATAGTCAACTGAATAACACCAAAGAGGAGTTTTTTAAATAAGGCTCCTAAAACCATAATACTATCTTGTCTAACAAGACAAGAATCTTAAACCATAATACTATCTTGTCTAGCAAGACAAGAATTTTAACAAAGTAATAAATAAATAATTTTCTAACAAATCTATAATATCACAAACAATCATAATCATAATAATAAAGAGGGAAACAAATAATTAAATTAAAGATTTTAACATCATTATCTTCATCATTCTCTCCCTTTCGAAAAGGATTCGCCCTTGAATTCGAAGCAGTCTCGTCTTCAACTACTCCACAATCCCGACCGGGCATATTTGACGGGTCATGAACTTGGTATACTCACAAGCAAAAAAACTATGACAACAACTTTCCAAGCTCCAAAAGATTCCCACGTACTCAATGGCTGAAAGTAAATGGTATGCTGCACTTTGTTCTTTTTGGGACACCATGCGAGTTATCAAACACATATGCATGTTGAATAAAAGACCATGAAAATCCATCTTCCAATTCATTGAAAACATCCATTCCAGGCACAACATCTGGTATCAGATATGATTCTAAAACCACATGGTACTCGTCCTCCATCGACACCACATGTGGTTTCTCATAAAAAACGGGTGGACCCTCATAATCGGTCAACCCCTCGACATAAAAAATAGGTGGACACATATATCTGGTCGACCCCTCGTCATCAAAACGAGGCGGACCCTCATATTTGGTCGATCCTTGCGCGTCCACAAAGGCTCCTGAAAATTCGGGGATCTCGACTTGGAACGATACTTCCAACGTCGATTGTCGTCTTGATGTGCCTGTCAAAAGTTGAAGGGGTTGACCTCCGACAGCGTCTCTTCGTCGTGCATCGGTGGTGGCGTACGCTGATGCGGCGCCCCGCCAGGCCCTCTACCGCCATGACCTCCGCGATAACCCCCACGACCGCCTCGGCCAGCCAAGTCGCAGTTGCTTGCTCGTCCTGAACCATAGTACGGATAGTTAGACGTATGTCCCCAATCTCCGCGGACATATCTGCAATCTGATGACCCATCGTCTGAAGCTGGTGGCCAAACCACTCGGTCCGGCGGCTCAGGTTGTAGATGACTTCGACACGCCTGTCGTTTGCAGCATCTTCGCAAAAACATCGTGAATCGTGTTGACTTCTGATACCAACTGATGTAGGGAAGCGAGTGGAAATGATATGAATGAGATCTCAATCTCAAACACGATAAAAAAACCAAACCAATCGTATTTTTATTCAACAATCATCTGAATAACACCAAAGATTATGAGTTCTTTAAATAAGGCTCCTAAAACCCTAATACTTATTTGTCCAACAAGACAACAATAGTAATAAATAAATTATTTTCTAACAAATCTATACTATCACTAATAATAATCATAGTTATAATAATAAATAGGGAAACAAATAATTAAATTAAAAATTCTAAACACCCTTATCTGCCATTTTTTTTTTTAAAATGAAAGTATGAGTTTGGAGAAAGTGTATTCCAACCTCATGATTAGACCTACATAATAAACACACACAGCCGAATTACATTTTGGTTGATAACTTATCCTTGAGTCTCTCGCCACGAAACACTTTGTTATCAACTGAAGCAAGCTATAAAAATACAAAGGCATCATTTATTTATTTATTTATTAATTCTCATATTTGCAAAATTGCAAGATTTTAATCTTCATGTAAATTAATTTTATGACCTCCAGAAAAAAAAAAGTGATTGCACTTTCCAATTAGTATTGATGTTTTTTTTTTTTTACTTATACTGGTGAAATAATCTTATATTTTTTTGTACAATTCTTTCCCCTGATTTTTTTTTATGCAATTCCATTAAAATAATTTTAAATAAAAGTCAATAATTGCTCTTAGGCATTTTTTTTTTAATAAAGAAAATGCTATGCATCCACACATATATTTCAAATCATCAATTGTTCTTAGTTATAGTATTATATTATCCTCATATCCATTAATTTATATTTATCTTATGGGTGATTGAATATAAAAAAATGGTTTTGATTCACCAGATATATTTTTTTTTATGATTAAATACAAATTTTAAACTCAAAATTTACTATTCATTTAACTTATTTTTTTTTAATTTATTTATCAATCAATATAAACTATAAATAATTAAAATAATTCATTACAGTAATACGGGTTTCCAACAAAATGTGGTTTTTATAATCCTACAATATATTTGTATAAATTTTATGTGAATGCAATGTGATAAGATCTTATCCACATTGTCTTATTATACATACATATATTTACATTACATCTTTTTTTATTTTTTATTATTTTTCCAAGTGACCTGCCAGGTGGATGGTGATGAATTGATTATAATTTATCCATTTCATTGCATTTCATTAATTAAATATCATAATAAATGCGATAAATATAATTTTTAATATAATATATATATATGGAAAAGAAAAAAAATATTAATAATTATATTCATCAAGTCTCAACTCATCAACAATATGAGTAAAATTATTAATTTTAAGATAAATTAAAGTCAATGATTAATTAATTTCTCTTTATTTCTGTATTTTGGTTTATTTATTTATTGACTGATATTTCATCTGGTATTTATTGATATTCTGACCTATTTTTATGAGTACACCTTAAATATAAGTGATTGTGACACTCTAACCAAATACATTTATTTTTATTAATAATAATATATATGGGGCCAAATGTATTCATGCAAAAGAAAGAATAAGAATAAAATACGTGATAACGACTTTCATTCCCTTTTAATATAATAATTGGAGCCTAGAGGGCAAATCCGTAAAATGCAAGTAATAGCTACATTTCATGAAATTAATAATCATGCAATGACAATTATATTTCACCATATCAATGTAGGGCTGTAAACGAGATGAGTCGAGCTCAAGCTTAGGGTGCTCGAGCTCCAGTCTGGAATCGAGCTCCAGCCTTATGAGCCGATCTCGAGCTGCCTAACTATAAAATATTATATAAAAATTGTATTGAGCCTTAACGAGCCTTATCAAGTTGAGCCGAGCTCGGGTCGTTAGTCAAACGAGCTTTAAATGAGCTCGAGCCCGGCTCTTAAAGCTCTCGAACTCGAGCCGAGCCAGCCTCGTTTAATTTAACAACACTATTATATTGCATAACATAAAAGTAATATTATATCATTTCGGTTTTGTTATATATGAAGCCAACAGTTAGCTCCATAGTGGAACCAACATTTCTATCTACAACAAGTAAGTCTATCATATTAATAAAATTATATTAGTGTTATTTAAGTAATTAAAAATATAGATTTAATTGTTGTATATAGAATGTTGACTCCACTATGAAGCCAATTGTTGGCTTCATAGCAAAACCGATATCATTCACGATGAATATCAAACAACCATTATGATAAGTTTGAAATAAATATCAAGCAATAAAGATGTTGCGGTCACGTCCCAATAATTGCAATCAAGAAATTTTAACTCTACAAATCTGATCAAATATGTGTGTAGTTCAATAACTAGTATATATCTTGTAATGCACATAAATATATTATAATTAATCTTTATAAATCATATAAATAAATAATATAGAAAATTATATATATATATTTTTTTTATCACTCTTTTATTTAAGTCAAGCCTCTAGTTTTCAATATCGTGTAAATATCTCTCTCTAGGTTTCGTTAATGTTGCTCGTTGCACCAAGTTCCTCTCTTTATTTATACGAACCCGTTGGCGGTACAAGCAGTTATCGACTTCAATGAGACACATGGCTATATTCGATCGTGATCTAAAGATATTGATGTTCTTATGTCTCAAGCGACAGCGTCTAGACATCTCCATTATATGCGTCGCTCATGCTCTTGCAAAATTTACTTCTTTTTCAAACTCTTTTTCTTATGGGAAGTGAATGTTTTTTCCGGAACTTATATTATGTACTCACTTAGTTTTTGTTTGATTTCTTAATTATAAGTTTCTTTTTGTGTAAAAAGATAAAATAAAAGGAGAATGCTACCATCCCGTAACGGGATGGTTCCGTTGTATTTTTAACCGTTGGATTGACTACCCATCACTAGATTACATGTATATCTATGGCTAGAAAATACAACGGAAACGGGATGGTAGCATTCTCCAAAATAAAAATATCGGAATAAATAGTGTCTATCTATATATTGGCTCCACCCACGTGTTGGACATTGCGATCTAAACTAATGCCAAAGCATATGCTACGTATCTTTGTCTTCTTTAATAACTTTTAGACCATCTATAATACTTTATTCTGTTCGTTAAAATGCAAAAAAATAAAAATAAAAAAAATAAAAATGAATAAATAAATAAATTTGCTATTAGCTGTCAGCATGTAAGGTTACGTAAAAAACCATTAATAAATTTTAATATAATT